AACTCCAATATCATTTCCTGAGGTGTGTTTTCTATCTTTCTTAAGTCCTTCCTTTCTGTAGCGCAATGTGGCATTCTTAGATTGTACCATCGCTACCTTGCATCTACTACATTTTCTTGCTATATGTGAATTTCTGATACAAACATTTTGAACATTGTTGAGCTTGTAACTTAACTTTATTTGAACAATGTGTAAAAATTCGGTTTTACGAATCGCCTTTCTCGCTGTCTTCCTAATGAGACTAAGCTAGGCCCGGGTCACTACCGATTTGTCACGTTACATGTATATCATTTTCTCTGCTTTGCTAATCCTACTTTTGCTTCGCTCAAATATGTATCGGAAATGTTCGGATTTCGAATATTTTCGATCAAGGTAGAATTCTCTAGTTCTTTAGGTCTGTGATTATAACTTTTCGAAAGGACTGCTTGAAGTACAATCTTCATTTTTGGCTCGAAATGAGTATTCCTTATCCGTTTTTCACCCCCTTCTTGATACTTTCTTTGCTTATTTTAGAGCTCTGCTACCACGATAGCTTTTTTTGTCCCTTTAAATGATGCCTATAATCCTAGTGAATTTTTAATGAGAATTAATTAAATTTCGTTTAGTCTTGCTTATCAAAGGTGTCCCCTATTTTTGATTTTTCCTAAGTCTTATCCTCACGATCAATGGAAAAGCAGTTTAAGCTAATTTTCAGGCAAGTGGGGCCACTCAAAATCACGTTCCTAATAATATTCATATTAGGACGAACTTGCATATACCAGCACCTTTGGCTACTTTAATTTTATGCGAAGAAAAGTTGGGTTTCGAGGACTCCTCTGTGTCATACTTGTTGAGGTTACTTTAATTTCGAGCGAAAGTATTTGGTGAAGAGATTCGAAGGTCGATCCCACCAAAGGGCGACGGCGAATTCCTCTTGACCAGCTGTCGATTGGCCTTACTGGAGCTTTCTTGTTAATACTGTTTCTGAAGTAATCTTCTTTGATTCCGGTGACAACGTACTAGGCTTTCGTCCGTTGTATGACGAACACTATAAGAGCAGGGTATAATCCTTACAACGATATTCGAGTCAAGAAATCTCACCGGTTCATCCATAAAAAGCTGTATACTCTATGTCTGACCTATTGGATGAAGTATTACATGTTTTAATTAGTTCTAAACATATTTCAGCCTCGGAGCATTTTAATGTGTCTGTCTCTATATGTGTTTATGCATGTGCCTGTATGTGTTCGCATATGTACGAAACCATCACCAATGACTAAAAGTAATTAGGACAGCAAAAGTAGCGTCTGTTCTCAGCCATCAAGGTTTGATGACCACCATCACCTCTTCTCTGTATGTATGTTACCCATCACTCCGATTGTGCAAGGTCGGACATACGTCTGATTTTGTTGATGAACAGCAAGGTAAGCAAAAAAGGGACGCCTGGATCTGTGATCTATGGTAACCCGGAGGAAAAGGGGTCGCAAGGAAGAAGAGGATGAGGAAGTTTCGGAACTAAAGCGAAGGTGTTCTAAGCGAATGTAGTCAGCTTGAATAAACAACTACAAATTTGGGTCCTGACGTTTCACGTGACTAAGAGGAGGGATTGGGTCACAGAAATAGGGTATTATGACCAAATTGACTAATAATCCACTCGAGATGCAATAAGCGTCTAGAAATAGATGGCCACAGTTTGTTCAGGGTACAAGAGTTTAATCAAGGAGATGATGCGTCAAGGCAATGTGTAATATCCGCAAGCATGGGATACAGAGCTTAGGCGGTCTGCAGGTGAGGTGGTATTGTACGTGTTAGTGAAGGCTCAAGAAATAGCGTCTGGATTAAAAAATACACTGAGTCTGGAACCGGGTGAAATCGGTCAATTAGAAAGATAAGGCACGGATCTATGGGCCCATGAGTCAGATCGAGACTAGGTCTTCCTGCCAATATGAATAAGTTGCGAAAACAAGGTCAAATGAATACTATACATCGAAAGGAGACTATGACCAAAATAGAGGCTACAACATCTTGCTCTTCGTTTCAACAGACATCTTTCTGTTCTTTTAACAGCCTTAAAAGACTAATCAACAGAAGTTTCGGTATTTTTTTGGTCAAGAAGACGCAACATTGTGTTGTCTGTCTTCCGTGGACCCTACTTTATGTTAGCAACCAAACCCATTATTCCTGTTTGAATATTGACTAAATGCTCTTCCTTTCATCTGCCAG